CTTTGCAATGAAGGCTTGTGGTGACCTTGTAAAGCACGGCTTTCCGAATCTAAGTTAAGTTGACATGCCCAAGACAAGACTGTAGCTTTAGCTGAATGAAGTGTGTACTCAAGAGCGCATGAACAAAGACTCGGAATTGTTTGCAGATATCGGCGCAACAATGCGATGGTCTGAGCATAAGACATGGGATCCACGATTGCACCTGAGCTGTCAAGATTGGGGAACCAGTGATCAGGAACAAATGATGGGCCGTATTTGAGAATAGATGCATCCCAAACAATATTCAAAGCTTCAAGCCACTTCAAAAGCCAACTAGCTTGGGGTGCATCTGCAATCAAACCAAAGACTTGCACTGCGAAAGGATATCCAGACTTGCTGGATTTGGCTTGAAAACATGCTGTGCGTAACGAAGTGTCATCTAGGATAATTTTGTCCCAAAACACATGTTGTGCATCATTAAAGCGAAGGGAGGCCCACATGCACACAAGAAGTGAACCTTTGAAGACGCAGTCTTGAAGCGACTTATGATTTTCCATGAGCGAGAGTTCCAAATCACGGATCACATACAATGGAAGTGGAAAGCTTTCACGTTTTTCTTTTGAAGAAAATGTGAGGTTGCTAAAAGTCGGTGAATACAAATCTAGGATTTGCAGTTGAAGTACGTTCGAAACCCAACGAAGCGCTTTAAGCGTGTTGAGACTGATCAGCGGTGACAACTGCAGTTCGTCCGAGTCCGGGTCAGATTCAGACCACTCTGAATGCATCAAACGCAAAACATCAACTAGTTCGACAGTTGAACAGAATTGCAAATTCAAGTCAAGATCACACAGCCACTGTGCGAGATTCAAAAATGAAATGCAGTACCGTTTAATAGTATTAGGGCTATATTTTCGAATCAGTAGTGAGCTCAAATCTGGTCGAAGGCTAAGTGATTGATTGCTTGCAAGAATGTCACTAAAATGAAATGCAAATAGAGCATACTTGTGCGAAAAGAGATTCTGCAAGTTTCCGTTGCCGGAATTCCAAGCTTTGCTGGGATGCACTCTGAGGTCTCGAACTGCTTTGTTTCTGACGTGCGCCTAAAGGCAGCGAAGACGGGCGGGAGCAAAAGAACCAGAAGGTGATGGTGATCCAACATCTTGAACATGCTCTGCATGAAGAGTTGATGGATATGGCTGACTTCGTCTTGCAGAATTGAAGACTGGTGGCGGGAGTGGCTCAAAATTCTGAAACACTAGGGTTCGACGAGGTGAGATCTGAGGAGCTACCAATGGGTTGGGGTTAACAACAAAGCATGAAGGTGGTCGAACTGCACTAGTATTAGGCAGACCATCGATGCGATCTGGGGCCAGCTCCCTGATATGAACAGGAGTGCAACTCGCTGCTTTCGGCCGTGGTGGCAAGTGCTGAGGCCCCCGGTATCGCTTCACTCGAAACGGAGGATCCATCAAAGATGGGCTGCGGGTCTGCAAACAAAAAGAAGTGAATTGAACAGCAAGTGAAAAAGCTGAAACAGGCTAGTGAACAAGAAGCAAGCTAAGCATGAACGCGTGTCCAAACGCAATATGGCATGAATGCATGTCCAATGTATATGCTCCTGCAATGTCCAACATAGCAGATTACCCGTTCGCAGGTGGTAACTGCCATGTTGAACATTGTACTCTAGAACCAAAATGGCCCCCGGAACATGAAGGATCTCAAAACATAACGTGAAGGATCACTACTAACATTGGTGTCATATCCCTGCACGACCCCCACAGGAGAGCAGGGAAGGCATGAGATCAGAACGATTCCATGTTAATCGGTTGGTTCGCCATGTGTTTTGGAACATATCCATGATAATGCCCATGGCACCAACCATGAGCGGGAGATAAATGGGGAAGGATGAGAGAAGGAATTTTTTCAAACCGGTGGGGATGTTTCAAAAGCTTCCCTGTCAGCCTCAATGCAGATGCCGATATCCAGTGGTGGAAGCAACGGCTTAAGAAAACGCCAATTTCACTATAAATAGGTTGTGAAATTTGAAACTCAAAGCTGAAAGCACTGTTGTGGATGTTGGAGAAGTGTACTGTTGTTTTCCGATGATTTGCAACGGTACGGAGGGGGCGATAGAGGTGTATATTGTCTCTCCAGTGGGCTAGTGAGTGTCCATGAAGTTCGCTGATTTCAGTGGTCGTGGGTGGTTGAAAAAAAGGGTGGTTGATTTCCGCAAAAGGGGGAGAGGGGGAATGGGAAAGGTGGAGGTGTCGGCGATAAGCTTCCGAGAGGGTGAGTTCGGCCCAATCAAACCGGGTCGGCCTCGGCGGAAAGTGTCTCCCCACAAAATACGGTAGGTATGGAAAGGCATGAGGGAAGCTAAGTATTCTAGGCTGCATTCATGGCGTAGGAGATGCACTAAGAGGTTGAGACGTCTTTGTGAAGCAAGCTGGGAGGGGGCATAGATGCAGGAGCCTTCAGACTTGGCGACGCATTGGAGGTGAGAATTAGAACATGGAATAGCGGACGGCTTCACCCGATGAAAATAGGGGGTTTGATCTGAAAGATTTGTCGTAGTTTTTTGTAGTGGAGGGAATCGAGTCTGCGATGCTGGGAATCCACTTTCATAGGACTTGGTTGCTTCACCAAACTTGGTTTCCAACTAATGCCTGATGTTGTCAGCACTCAGTTGATTGTCAGCACCCATGGCCCGCATGGCAACATAAGTTGATTGTCAGCACTCATGGCAATCGTGGTAACATGCGAATCGAGTTCCATGCAACCTGTACACATAACAGATCACAGCCTGATCAAATTCTCCGTAACTCGGCAGTCTCTCTCTTAACGTCCTTTGATGGACTAGCAACCTCTCCAAAAGCTGCGCCCAATGTCAGCGTCATAGCGCTCCACCTGCGGACAGTTGCGAAGGTTGACAACTGTTGCGAACGCTACCACAGAGGTCGTGAACAAGGCTCTACCTCCAGACCCCCTGGGTTAAACGAGAACCCTTCTGACTGTTTTCACTTGATCGAAAAGCGCCTCAACCGGGCGGTTCAATCTCTGATCACCTATACACGATCAACTGTACATACACATATATGGATGCGGAAATCTCAATCACCCCGCCTCCAGACACCAATCATCATTGGTGGATGGTTTATATGGGTAAAGCTTTCAGCTAAAGCTCCAAGGCAACAGGGCTACCCAAAGACTCATCAATCACGCGTGCTTTCAAAAGCCACGCTCATTTCGTGAAACTATTTCGAATTCTCTGCTCTCAGAATCGTCAGAAAAGGGTCAGCACCATATCATATCCAGCGCTCTTGGGTTCACACCAGCATCGGCTTCATGCTCCAAACAAATCTGAAAAGCACTTCCAAAACTTGCACTTGGTGATCTCAGTCACTTTATTCCCCCAAGTTTTGGTCGTTGGGGCGTCTAGAACAAATCTAAACAGCACTGCTCGGAAAGAAGAAAACTTTCTTCCAGGCCACAAGTTTGAATGCCCAAGGTCTCTCAGCGCATAGCACACATATATGCAGAGAAACAAAACGCAGAAAATGAAACTTGGCCAAAACTGCTCATTCTGCGTCTCTCGCTCAAGAACCCTGTAGCCATTCAACGCACAGCTTGCATCTGCAGGATCTGAACTGTACGAAGGACTCAAGGCGCTCATTGCCAGCGCTACGCGTAAAATTTGTATTGAAACAGTGTGCGAAAAACCCAACTCGCGAATATTTCGGATTTGCTTGGAAAATGTTTCTCTGGTTTGAACTTCGTCAAAAACATCGTGTCCAACACGTTCATCGCAAGACATGTCGTAGATTCCGCACAAGTACATCAACATGCGCATCCTATCTCTATGTAATCTCTTTGTTCCAAGATCTGCCACATTCCAGCGTGTGGGGATGGCGCTCAAAAGGACTTCACCTGCTTTTACTTTTGTTTGTATCCACAAACAGCGAGTGGACAAATGTCGAACCTTTCCTACTCCTTGGCGACGCATGATTTGACGCGCAGCTGTGTTGTCCATGAAGAGTTTCAGCTTCAAATCATCTAGTTCACAATGAAGCAAAAAACAAATGCACTGCTTGATCAGGATCGCGTCGCATGCGGCGGAAACGCCACTATACAGTTCAGCCTCCGCTGAGCTTAAAGCTATGGTCCGTTGCGCGCGACTCGAAGAATGAATCAAGCAACCATGGAAAACAAAGTTGATGCGCTCACCGATTTTCTAGTACCTTTGCGCGATGCCCAATCGCTGTCAGAGTACACCTCTAAAACAAGCTCGGAACCAGTATGGTGGAAAACGCCTTCATGGGGCTTGAAGCGAAGTTGAATACCTTGATCAACCCAACCTAAAAGGTACTGAACAAGGTGTCGAAGGAAAAGCATGTTCAGCTCACTAGGTTTGCTCATGTGTTGCGCTAACAGGCGGATCACATGTTGGCATTCCACAAAGTCAACAGAAATATACAGGAGAATACCGACTGCAGAACGATAGCTCTTTGCTGAGGCGGCGTCCAACGCCGCGGACTCATCTGCTTCTTCCAACATTGCATGTCCAGGGACCTTCTTAGGGTTTAACTCTCGGCCTACCTGCAGCAGCTCAAACAAACGGTCCAAATGTTTGGGATGACTTTGTATCAGAATTTCGGTTTCTGATTGCAAAATGTGGTTCTTCTTCAAAAAACACAGTTCGTCACCAACGTTCCTCATGACCTCAATAGCCACTTTGTAGTGGCCCTCAAACACTGGCATCAACTTCTCTGACAGAAACTTTTCGTGCACAAGACACAAAATGTCGTCGACATGCAACAGCATCAAACACTTGCTACACGCGCTACGCAACAAACAAGGGTAGGCTACACAGCTAGTCATACCAAGCTCTCGGTCAAGAATTGTGGTGATGCTCTCATACCAGAGTTGGCTCCCATCGCGTTGACCGGGGAGGACTTTACCCAGCACAAACTGTTCTGATGTGCCTGCTGCGGTTGAACAAGTTACAACAGTGAGTGTTTTCTGCTCAACGGTCAGGAAAGCATCTGCCACATCTATTGCCGATAGAACAAAACCTTGCAAACGAAGCTTCAAGAACAAGATTGGCAACAAACGAGTGGTCAGTGAACTTGATGCAGGCGAAAACAAATCTTCACGCTCTGGAGTCAGCCAAGCATACTCACGCGCCACATAGCGCGAACGACGCAACCACACATGCGCACCATTCCTCTTCTTATCCCTCCACGCTCTGACAAAACGAGTGGTCAGAGTCTTTGGGGTCACTGAGGTATCCAACTCAGAAAGAGGCAGAAGCACTCCAAGACCTTTCAGGCGTGCCATTTCAACCTTATCTGCCAGGGCGTCCAATGCCAAAAGGGAAGGTTCATCAAGCTCGGGCTCCAACAGAGTATATGGCACACACAACTGGTCCAAGGCTGCTTCAACCTCGCTCGACGGGAGCACTTCTTTTTCTGCATCAGCTAGCACTTCGACATTTTCTTGCAATTCAAATTCGTACTCTTCCAAAAAGTTCAACTTCTTCATGTTCAAACTCAAAGGAAACTCCTTCGTCCTCATGCTCTAGAACATTTCGAACTTGGAACAGCCGTGGTGCTTTGCTTGGGGGCACGCGCGGCGCTTTGCTAGGAGGTTCCGTTTCCAAGGCTGAAGCGTCGCGCTCACGTGTTCCTGAAGAAGCTCGAGGCACCATGACTGCAGAAGCTGGTGGAGGCATCATTCGAGGCACCATGACAGCAGAAGCTGGTGGAGGCATCATAGGCGGTCGTTGCCCCGCCTGAGCCGGCATTGCTACATCAGGGGCTTCAGGTCGAGGCACGTCATCAGGAACAACAAGTGGTGGTGTCACAGGTGCACCTTTTGGAACTGGGTATCCTGCTGGGTTTCCCGGCGCAGGACCTGGCGGGGCCTCATCCGGAGTTGGAGGAACATTCATGACAGCCTCAGCATCTAGATCGCGTGGCGGTGGCCGGCCGGGGTCTCTCACACCGATGGCAGGAAAAGGAGTTGGAGGAACAATTCTCTTGGCCAGAACAAGTTGAGCACCCAAAGAGGCATATCCGTAGTCCCATGGATAGCTCTCAAATCCAGCAATCACATCAGAGTTGAAAGGTGGATCGAGTCTGCGAACACTTCTTGTGACAAAAACTTTCTCCCCAACACCAATAATATGGACATCATTGTTCAAGGTCTTGCCTAGCCAAATGCCCTTGCACCACCTTGGACTTCCCTTTACCTGGGGCTTCAAAAACCCAAGGACAGTTTCACCGTACATGCAAATGCGACCAGTGTACATGCGGTCACAACATCGCTCATAAGACGTCTGGCCTTGTTGAACTGCGAAACGATTTCTCGTCCAGCCTGCGTGCAAAAGAGACCAGCAATATAGGGGATGCTGGCAGCTCACCGTGTTGGGAATTCCAAGACTTTGTTCAACCTGGCTGATGAAAAGACCAGCCTGTTGGCGAAGGATGTTCACTGTGGTTTCTGCCGCGCCATTTGATTTTGAACTACCTGGAGGCACAGGTTCAGCTCGGGCTGAGATGCCAAGCGCTCTCAACGTCTTTCGGGCAGCATCTAAAAGGCTCAAAGTTGAAGGCTCATTGTCACACCTCAGGCCTACAGCCTCATGACCAAGCCAAACAATGAAACGAACTAACTCAGTACACAGGTAATTCAGACGACGACCTCCCTTGGCATCAGTGGGAACACAGTGCATGGCACCGGTGAATTGAATATACAAGCCACAGAGTTTGCGATCAGCATCTGACTCGAGCCTTCCAGAGAACCCAAAGTCAAAAGAAACAACTGAGTGACCACTACGTGACTCTTCTCGAGACTCGCGCGGATGGACATCTTGCCTGCTACGTGCCCCAACGCAGAGTTCGCACCAGGATGCAAATGGGTAATGCGTCAAATTATGTTCTGCAACTACTTCAGCGCTTGGCGCCTTGGGTTGAGGCTGCGCATTTGCAGAGCGTTGGGTTTCATCCTTCAGGTTGCGCTCAGCTGCACTTGCAGAAATCAGTTCTTGTGCTTGTAGGTGTTGCCACATACGCTGGAGGCAGGTCAACTTGTTTCCTCTGGTTGAGAGTCCCAGGTGCTGGCAAGCGTCACGAAGAACCCGCAAAGGACTGTTGGTGTCCAATCTCATGCCATTCACAATGACTTCTCTGGGGTCCGCGCTGTCATCACGTTCGTGAGCGGGAACCTCTGCGTCACCTGGGGCAGCAGGGACGTCCGCAGGACGGGGAGGTGCAGCACGTTTCAACACACCAAAGTGATCGTCACTCAAGTCAAAACCAAGGTCTTCTGGAGGCAAGAGTTCAGCGTGGGCAATAGTGATGACTTCCGCAATGGCTCTTGGGGCCACAATTGGAGTTGTCAAAGATTCTAGATCACTGACGCTTTCACCAAACTCGTCCAAAATCCACTCTCCGTCAATGAGCTTCACCAAGGTGGTTCGAAGCCACAAACCTTCTGCAGGACAGAGGGTCGTGTCCACATGTTGCGCTGAAAAGTTCCTCAAGGCAAAAATAGTCTGGCTCACTTGGTTCCATCCTGGCACTAATGCAGCAAGAGCTGCACCCAAGGTTAAAACCCGCACGTGAACAGCATGCTCTAAGCTAGCTGTGACTAGGCTCCAAGCCACTCAGATGAGTCGACCGAGGAACATCTTGGACCATCCTGATTTCCCCATACGCACAAAGCGAGTTGTTCTTGAAATGCAAAGGTATTTCGTGAGAGGCCTTCTGGAGTGATAGCGAAGTGCTGTCACCTTGGCTACAGACGGTCCAACCGTCCTTCAAAAGCCTACCCATCGAAATCAAGGGAGCAGTGACATTTGCACTGACAAATCTCTCGCGAAATGCCACTGATCCAAACCGGAGCTCTGCAATCCGCACGTCATGAACCCCAATGGGCTTACCTTGTGCATCTACATACTGCGAACGCCGACTATCAACATCTGATTCACCTACGTGTGCAAACGAGGAAGGGAGCACACTTCCGTCAGCTCCTGAGTCCAGAACAATTTCAACCAGTGTACCTGGTGAAGACCAGATTGCACGAACGTGTTCGTGTGACTCTTGCGAAGAATCTGTGCAAACAGAAAAACATGGTTCTAGTCCTGCGTACGTCCATTCTAAGTCGTTGTCTGAATATGTCATGTCGAAAATTCTGCAACTCATGTATTGCGTGCTCGACTGTGGTGCGTCTTCAACATTTGTGGCCGTCATGGCCTGTGAAACTACATTGCACGATCCCTCGAACGTGTCATACACCGTCAAGTCGAACACTTCGTATTCATCGAATTCGTTGTCTGCAAGCTCTTCAATGGAGAGCAAACGAACTGCCTGCGAAGGTTGCGCAGCAGCAGTGGTCGAAGGCGCAGTGGTTGAAGGGGCTGAAGTTTGGGAAGCACTATCATCTGCAGTCAATGAGTTCACACTCTTCTTACCGCCTTTGCCATGCAAAAGCCAGCAATCTCGCTTCCAGTGACCGCTCTTTCCGCAGTAAAGGCAAACATCGGTCGAAGATGCACTTCCAGCCTTGCCTCCCTTTCCTTTTGGAGATGGAGACTGCCAGGAACCTTTACCTTTACCTAGGAAACCCTTGTCTCCCTTTGGCTTTAAGGCTTACCACTCTTACCCTTTCCAATGGGGTCCCTATATTTTCCTTTCTTTCCTTTGCCCTTACCTTTTGAAACAAGATCGATTTCCATGGGGGCTCCGAACTCGAACTATTGCTGCCAACAATGCCAAGTTCCATGTGAATCTTTGAAGGAGCCCACGAGGCGGTCACGGACTCATAACCGACAACAGCTCGTCTCGTCTCAGCATAAGTGCTCGTCTCCGTAAGCTGCAGTTGGATGTGTTGGCGGATGTGTCCAGGAAGACATTTCACAAGGACTGACAGCATCAAGTCATCTGGAACTTCAGCACCGCTTGAACGTCTGTATTCATCTCGAAGGCGCTCAAGCCCTAAGACCTGTTCCAGCAAAGTTCGGTCTTTCGTGAAAGGAGGGAGGTTCATCAATGCTGACAGCAAAGAAACTGACCGACTCTTTGTCCTCGGCTTGTAGAGCTGGCTCAACTGGCGCCAGGCTTCAAAGCCGTTGCGCTCACTAATCTGCAGTATCATGCGAAGTGGTTTTCCTCGAAGAAGGCCTGTCAGAATTGAATACAGTTGCCTGCGTCTCACCTGAACCTCAGGCGATTCGCCACCAACTTCAATGGAGTTCTGAACGTTCCCTTCAATGTGTTGAAAGTCACCTTCACAGCGAATGTCACTATAGAAAAGCCAAGCTTTGAAGTTTGCGGCAAATTCAGCGAATTTGGAAGTTTCACTGTCACTATCCCCAGAATCACTCCCAAAAGGATCCGGCTGCCGAACAACCTTGCTCGCTTCAGTGAATTTCTGCTGGGGTCTCTCCTGACTTGCTCGCAATGCCGCAGCTGCGTCCGCTGCTGCTTGAGCAGCTTGTGTGGCCGCTTGCACCAGCTGCCCGATCTCAACGGGCGAAAGGCCAGCCATGCTCCCTGGTCGACGTTGACTCACAATCCAATGGCTTCGAATGAACTACAGGCCTACAGACCTAAGGGCGCTACCTAGAAAGAAAAGGACCCTCGGATGCCCTGGCACAGGTGGCTCAGGGCTCCGCTACCATGACTGTTTTCACTTGATCGAAAAGCGCCTCAACCGGGCGGGTTCAATCTCTGATCACCTATACACGATCAACTGCACATACACATATATGGACGCGGAAATCTCAATCACCTTCGCTACGCATTCGGCAGAAGGATCCAATCTAAATTATCACCTTGTTTTTTTCACGGGTGTTGATTTCCCCTCTGGACTCCCGTGCTCCGCACAGGGAGCATGTGAGTCGAACGCGCCTTTGCCAGGCGCAACCACAGCCCGACAAAACCCAAAGATCTCTTGATTTGTTGCAAGGAACTGGAAAAATTTGAGAGTTTGACCAAACTGAAAAAATGTGAGACAGTGATTTGACCACAAAATGATTTGTTTTTTCTTTGGTGGGCTGATGTTGGACCGAAAGCCATATTTGGTAGAAATCAATCTCTTGCGCGGCTTCTAAAAAAGCTGCTTTTTCACAGCGCGTCTCTGTCGTCAGCGAAGCTGAACACTAAGTAGTTGGTTGCTTCTGCAGACCAACACCATCAGGAATCTTAGATTTGTCGAAACCATCTTTGGAAGCCATCGCATAGGACGGGTAAATTTTACCGGAGGCCAGGTTGACTATCTTACGATAGAGAAAATCAATCAGACCATCAACCGAAGGCTTCTTGACAGTGTACTTCAACACGAGCTCTCTGTAGTAAGGCCTCCTGCCTGCTGTACAGTGAGAACTCACGTCGAATCAAGCGGAGGAGTTCGTAGCCGTTGCCTCACCTCTCGCCATGATCTGGTTGCGGATCATGTTTTCAATCTTGGAATACCGTGTGAAGGCCTGCTGGATGAGGTGGTGTAGCCTTCTTGCGTGGAGTTCTTGATCTTGCAAGATCCAATAGCCATACGTGAAGCCTCCCTCAGTTCGGGGCCGTGCCGGTCGTGGGCGAGGCACAACCATCCCCCCAGCTTCTCGACCCAACCGCGGAATCCGCTGAGTTCACGACTGCTGGACCATGTGCCTTGCTGTCGATGCAACATTTCGATCATCGCCTGACCAAGCTGAAGCTGTTGCGCCATTTACTCAGCCAACAAAGGGTCCACATTCTGAGGTCGATGAGTGGCATATGACCAGAACCATCCTGATTCCAATCCCAAGTTGGTGGCAACCCACACTCCATGTCCACTTGAACTCTGTCCAGAACCATCAACTGGGTGACTGTCGATTTTGTCCATCACCTTGAGGAACATGGGAAGACACACCACCATCTTCTGCCTGACCTGCATTCAACCCGTCTCCAGCTTGACCTGTAAAACATCCATAAGGTTGGCTTACTGGATTCACTGAACGAACTGATGCAGTTGTTGTTGGTCCATACTGAGCCCACAACGCCTGTGTCACTGCTCGCTGACGCCCATAGCGCCAACTCTGCCAGGGATCTCTTGCTTGCAAAGGATCAACTTGCTGACGTGCATATGGTGGTCCACCACTGAAAACAGGCGCGTTCGCCGAAGGAACCACAGAAGAGCCAGGTACCACACTTGTATGATCAAGACAGCGTCTGCCTCTCACCCTTAGGATCCTCGGGGCTCCGCTACCATGTGAAAACACGGTCCCGCAGGCGCCCCTTTTCGACCCCGCTCCTTGAGCCAAAGTCACAGTCGGTTCAGACTGTATCCAAGTTCACTCAACTCTTCTCTGGTTGAAACTTCGAGCGCTGTGAAAACACGGTCGCTCAAGCGCCCCCTATTCGATCCTGCTCTTGAGCCAAAGTCACAGTCGGTTCAGACTGTATCCAAGTTCTCTCATCTCTTCTCTGAAGAGGTTCGACTGTCCACAGTCTTCCAAAACAGGTCTCATACCTACCAAAAAAGGTAAAGAACTATCTCCAAATACTCTCAAGCTATCTCAAACTATACACAGCTCTAACAGGTGCTTCTCTAAAGATGCTCCTAGTCACATTGCACCTTCTCGGTAAGGAGGTCAAAGAGAAAACATCGAGAGGGCAAAGATCCCTATTCAGCTCCAACCACAAGTACTGGAAAACGAATATTACAACTAGAAACAGGTACTAAGTGATCCACACCCTGTAAAACGTGCTACCAGCTGTATTTCACACCCCTTCTTGGGTCACCTGGCGCCGTCTTCTGTCTCTTTCTTCTCTCTTCTTCTTCTTCTCTTCTATTCCTTTTCTCTGATCAACTCAGGGTCAGACATCAACTGAGATCTCAACTCCTGTCAAGACTACTCTCCAGGTCGATCAAACGTCCACGAATCCAACAGAGCGAGCTCCAAGCAAGTTCAAATCTCAATCAACCAAGACCAAACAAGCAAGATACTGCTGGGAGAAGTAAATTGGTCCCAGAGAATTTGAGAGTTTTGGAGGCCAGATTCAGCTTCAGCAGTCCTTCTTCTTTGCTGCAATTGAGGCTTCCAACATGGCTCATCCGGGAGAGATAGATAGATACTAGAGAGATAGATAGATACTACCCAGACATAAGATATAATAGTCATAAGATATAATACTCATAAGATAGATACTATTCAGTATAAGTTTGAAAACACATCTGAACAATCCAAGCTACTGGGAGACAATGAAATCTGTAAGCCCCAAACGATAGCATGTCTGTGAACGCAAAGACGTAAACAAAAACAAAAAGACTGATCTCAGATAGAGCTGATCTCAAACAGAGCTGATCTCAGACAAAGCATTAAAACAAACACTGCGATCCTCTCCAGCGTTAGTGAGGACAAAACTGCTGATCTCAGACAAAGCTGATCTCAAACAAAGCATTAAGAAACAAACAGCCATCTGCTCCATCATCAGTGACCTCAAAGACATAGAACAAAAACAACACTGCTGATCTCAGACAGAGCTGATCTCAGACAAAGAATTAAGAAAAACTATCCAAGCAGCTTCATCTGTGTCCTTCCTTTTCGTGCTGCGGTGCAGTATGGTGGTGTCAAATGGGGCTCTACAAGGTGATCTCCAACTCTGGATGTCAAACAATGCTGATCTCCAACTTTCGTGGATCTCAGACGGTGACCCTCAGAGAAAGAGGCTCTACATGTTGATGTCCACCTGTGGATCTCAGACAACGCTGATCTCCAACTCTGGATCGGTCAGACTAGTCAAATTTGCGAAGCTCACGATACGTCTGACACGCTGTAAGAGGTAGCCGGAGTTGGCAAATGGCATCATCATGAGGCGGGAGGCCACGGTATGTAGAGGTCTGTGGGGAAAAGAAGTAGACTCTCGTGGATGCTCATTGCCGATACCAAGAAGGCGAATCCCTCGAGAGTTGACATAGTAAAGCACGAGGTGTTCCAGTGTGCAGGTGTGCGGAACTTCCATTACACGAGAGTCTCCGGTGGAGGGCAGGGCCATCCAAAACTTTGACGTTCCTGTCACAAACGTGAGTGGATTACATCTTTGAGATCATCGACTGTGTACTCCTTGGTGTCAAGTTGGTGCCAGTCGAGGGTGACGGTGATGTAGTTGAGGGGTTGATGGACGAGCAGGCTGATGTCCAATTCAAATCGGATGGTGGAGAGATTGGGAACTTGATCCAGCGATTCGAAAGGTTGATGGGTCTCCCTCCACGAATTTTTTTCCACGAGTACGGACGCCGTGTGGGCATGGTGCCCAGGTCATCGTTGAAGGAAGGGAAGAACAATCAGATGGTGGAGAAAGGAACGAAGACCCCAAAACCAACCAAACCAAACACCCAAGCCCGCAGGCCGAAACTCCACCATCTTGTAGTCTTTCCTCTACACTAGGTGAAACGTGTGAAACTGAGACTAGTGGCAATTAATGGGCCTGAATTCGCAAAAGAAAAGGATTGCAGCGCAAGCTGTGTTCATGGAAAGCCGCCTAGGAGGCTTCAAACGGACTTTCCTTACCAAGTGTTGGTGACCAGCGGCCACACCACAGTGTGGCAAAACAAGGTCACTTTGCAGGTCAGGTGTCTCGCGATGCTCCAGCAGTGGTTGCAATCAGGTCGACCAAGTGTGCGAAGATCTAAGCAGCAATCCGTGGAAAAGACCATTCTTGCAGCACAACCCGTTCAACTGGTGGCGCATACAAGACCAGTCACATGCTGCCCGACAAGATTCAAACTTGGCGGCAATTCCTAGCGAGAGAAGCCTGCAGTTAAGGGTGAACCGGGCACAACCTCCCCGTGGGGAGGCAGACCCAACACCCTTCGGCACACAACGGTGCCAATAGGGGATGTCACTTGAGTCTGTGAGGCGCTGCGTAAAGGCAAAAAGTGAAAGGTGCGTGCAAGGCCCGTGTGAAACATGTGAAACATGAGCTCTCCTAGCATGATATCTGTACCTCTTTGTACAAAATTGGAAATGTCGGACATCAACAGCGGGAACTAAGGTTCCCCCTGGGCATCCTTCATTGCCACTATCTACCACCCGCCGTGTAGGAACGCAGAACTAAGGCTCTCGCTCCTATCGGCTCACTACGCAACGGATGGCGAGAAGAGGTCATGGTTCCACTTGTTGTCTGTGCATTTTTCTTGCCGTATATGCCTGGAAATCCTCCTTTTCTAACGCTCGAATACTGGCACTTGGCTCTACTCACTGCCCACGTCACTCTTGCTCCTCTCCTGCTTCTGAAGCATTGCTGGTCTTTGAGGCTGGGTCTAGATAGTCTTCTCGCCAAAGGTCGTTTGCATTATAGATCATCGAATGCCATGGTGCCGAAATACTTGCATCTTGGGGCGACCACTACCCGTAGCACTTGACACCTACACCAATGACCGACTACTGTGTCTGACAGGTGGACGATTTGCAGTTGTCGACATCACCGCCACGCCGAGACCCTTCTCCATCCGACAGCATCTGGGCACTCACTCCATGCGTAACGGAGGGCAACTATGGTTAGTTACTCGTGTTGAGGAGTACTGTTTCGCAACTGCTGGCCTACTCCGGACCCGAGCTAAGGCTCGCACCCAGACTCTAACAAAATTGACAGCAGGGCCACGACAGCTGTGGATGGAAGGATGTTCCTCTATCCTAAACCAGGGGTGTAGCCCATGTCCGGGATCATATG